TGCAGCACTAGGACAGTTGCAGCACCAGGACAGTTGCAGCACCAGGACAGTTGCAGCACTAGGACAGTTGCAGCACCAGGACAGTTGCAGCACCAGGACAGTTGCAGCACTAGGACAGTTGCAGCGCCAGGACAGTTGCAGCACCAGGACAGTTGCAGCAATAAGACAGTTGCAGCACCAGGACAGTTGCAGCACTAGGACAGTTGCAGCACTAGGACAGTTGCAGCACCAGGACAGTTGCAGCACCAGGACAGTTGCAGCACTAGGACAGTTGCAGCACCAGGACAGTTGCAGCACCAGGACAGTTGCAGCACCAGGACAGTTGCAGCACTAGGACAGTTGCAGCACTAGGACAGTTGCAGCACTGGGACAGTTGCAGCACTGGGACAGTTGCAGCACCAGGACATTTGCAGCACCAGGACAGTTGCAGCACTAGGACAGTTGCAGCACCAGGACAGTTGCAGCACCAGGACAGTTGCAGCACTAGGACAGTTGCAGCACTAGGACAGTTGCAGCACTAGGACAGTTGCAGCACTGGGACAGTTGCAGCACTGGGACAGTTGCAGCACTGGGACAGTTGCAGCACCAGGACATTTGCAGCACTAGGATAGTTGCAGCACTGGGACAGTTGCAGCACTAGGACAGTTGCAGCACCAGGACAGTTGCAGCACTAGGACAGTTACAGCCCTAGGACAGTTGCAGCACCAGGACAGTTGCAGCACTGGGACAGTTGCAGCACTAGGACAGTTGCAGCACTGGGACAGTTGCAGCACTAGGACAGTTGCAGCACTAGGACAGTTGCAGCACCAGGACAGTTGCAGCACTGGGACAGTTGCAGCACCAGGACAGTTGCAGCACTGGGACAGTTGCAGCACTGGGACAGTTGCAGCACTGGGACAGTTGCAGCACTAGGACAGTTGCAGCACTGGGACAGTTGCAGCACTGGGACAGTTGCAGCACTGGGACAGTTGCAGCACCAGGACAGTTGCAGCACCAGGACAGTTGCAGCACCAGGACAGTTGCAGCACCGGGACAGTTGCAGCACCAGGACAGTTGCAGCATCAGGACAGTTGCAGCACTAGGACAGTTGCAGCACTAGGACAGTTGCAGCACTAGGACAGTTGCAGCACTGGGACAGTTGCAGCACTGGGACAGTTGCAGCACCAGGACAGTTGCAGCACCAGGACAGTTGCAGCACCAGGACAGTTGCAGCACCAGGACAGTTGCAGCACCAGGACAGTTGCAGCAGCAGTTGCAGCAGGACAGTTGCAGCACTAGGACAGTTGCAGCACTGGGACAGTTGCAGCACCAGGACAGTTGCAGCACTAAGACAGTTGCAGCACCAGGACAGTTGCAGCACTAGGACAGTTGCAGCACCAGGACAGTTGCAGCACTAGGACAGTTACAGCACTAGGACAGTTGCAGCACTAGGACAGTTGCAGCACCAGGACAGTTGCAGCACCAGGACAGTTGCAGCACTAGGACAGTTGCAGCACCAGGACAGTTGCAGCACCAGGACAGTTGCAGCACTAGGACAGTTGCAGCACCAGGACAGTTGCAGCACCAGGACAGTTGCAGCAATAAGAAAGTTGCAGCACCAGGACAGTTGCAGCACTAGGACAGTTGCAGCACTAGGACAGTTGCAGCACCAGGACAGTTGCAGCACCAGGACAGTTGCAGCACTAGGACAGTTGCAGCACCAGGACAGTTGCAGCACCAGGACAGTTGCAGCACCAGGACAGTTGCAGCACTAGGACAGTTGCAGCACTAGGACAGTTGCAGCACTGGGACAGTTGCAGCACTGGGACAGTTGCAGCACCAGGACAGTTGCAGCACCAGGACAGTTGCAGCACCAGGACAGTTGCAGCACTAGGACAGTTGCAGCACCAGGACAGTTGCAGCACCAGGACAGTTGCAGCACTAGGACAGTTGCAGCACTAGGACAGTTGCAGCACTAGGACAGTTGCAGCACTGGGACAGTTGCAGCACTGGGACAGTTGCAGCACTGGGACAGTTGCAGCACCAGGACAGTTGCAGCACTAGGACAGTTGCAGCACTGGGACAGTTGCAGCACTAGGACAGTTGCAGCACCAGGACAGTTGCAGCACTAGGACAGTTACAGCCCTAGGACAGTTGCAGCACCAGGACAGTTGCAGCACTGGGACAGTTGCAGCACTAGGACAGTTGCAGCACTGGGACAGTTGCAGCACTAGGACAGTTGCAGCACTAGGGACAGTTGCAGCACTAGGACAGTTGCAGCACCAGGACAGTTGCAGCACTGGGACAGTTGCAGCACCAGGACAGTTGCAGCACTGGGACAGTTGCAGCACTGGGACAGTTGCAGCACTGGGACAGTTGCAGCACTAGGACAGTTGCAGCACTGGGACAGTTGCAGCACTGGGACAGTTGCAGCACTGGGACAGTTGCAGCACCAGGACAGTTGCAGCACCAGGACAGTTGCAGCACCAGGACAGTTGCAGCACTGGGACAGTTGCAGCACCAGGACAGTTACAGCATCAGGACAGTTGCAGCACTAGGACAGTTGCAGCACTAGGACAGTTGCAGCACTGGGACAGTTGCAGCACTGGGACAGTTGCAGCACTGGGACAGTTGCAGCACCAGGCAGCACCAGGACATTTGCAGCACCAGGACAGTTGCAGCACCAGGACAGTTGCAGCACTAGGACAGTTGCAGCACCAGGACAGTTGCAGCACCAGGACAGTTGCAGCACTAGGACAGTTGCAGCACTAGGACAGTTGCAGCACCAGGACAGTTGCAGCACTGGGACAGTTGCAGCACTGGGACAGTTGCAGCACTGGGACAGTTGCAGCACTGGGACAGTTGCAGCACCAGGACAGTTGCAGCACTAGGACAGTTGCAGCACTGGGACAGTTGCAGCACCAGGACAGTTGCAGCACTAGGACAGTTGCAGCACTAGGACAGTTGCAGCACCAGGACAGTTGCAGCACTGGGACAGTTGCAGCACTAGGACAGTTGCAGCACTGGGACAGTTGCAGCACTAGGACAGTTGCAGCACTAGGGACAGTTGCAGCACTAGGACAGTTGCAGCACCAGGACAGTTGCAGCACTGGGACAGTTGCAGCACTGGGACAGTTGCAGCACTGGGACAGTTGCAGCACTAGGACAGTTGCAGCACTGGGACAGTTGCAGCACTGGGACAGTTGCAGCACCAGGACAGTTGCAGCACTGGGACAGTTGCAGCACCAGGACAGTTGCAGCACTGGGACAGTTGCAGCACCAGGACAGTTGCAGCACCAGGACAGTTGCAGCACTAGGACAGTTGCAGACAGTTGCAGCACTAGGACAGTTGCAGCACTAGGACAGTTGCAGCACAGGACAGTTGCAGCACTGGGACAGTTGCAGCACCAGGACAGTTGCAGCACAGTTGCAGGACAGTTGCAGCACTGGGACAGTTGCAGCACAGCAGGACAGTTGCAGCACCAGGACAGTTGCAGCACTAGGACAGTTACAGCCCTAGGACAGTTGCAGCACCAGGACAGTTGCAGCACTGGGACAGTTGCAGCACTAGGACAGTTGCAGCACTGGGACAGTTGCAGCACTAGGACAGTTGCAGCACTAGGACAGTTGCAGCACTAGGACAGTTGCAGCACCAGGACAGTTGCAGCACTGGGACAGTTGCAGCACCAGGACAGTTGCAGCACTGGGACAGTTGCAGCACTGGGACAGTTGCAGCACTAGGACAGTTGCAGCACTAGGACAGTTGCAGCGCTGGGACAGTTGCAGCACTGGGACAGTTGCAGCACTGGGACAGTTGCAGCACTGGGCAGCACTGGGACAGTTGCAGCACCAGGACAGTTGCAGCAGGACAGTTGCAGCACTGGGACAGTTGCAGCACCAGGACAGTTGCAGCACCAGGACAGTTGCAGCACCAGGACAGTTGCAGCACTGGGACAGTTGCAGCACCAGGACAGTTGCAGCACTGGGACAGTTGCAGCACTGGGACAGTTGCAGCACTGGGACAGTTGCAGCACCAGGACAGTTGCAGCACCAGGACAGTTGCAGCACTGGGACAGTTGCAGCACCAGGACAGTTGCAGCACTGGGACAGTTGCAGCACTGGGACAGTTGCAGCACTGGGACAGTTGCAGCACTGGGACAGTTGCAGCACCAGGACAGTTGCAGCACTAGGACAGTTGCAGCACTGGGACAGTTGCAGCACTGGGACAGTTGCAGCACTGGGACAGTTGCAGCACTGGGACAGTTGCAGCACTGGGACAGTTGCAGCACTGGGACAGTTGCAGCACTGGGACAGTTGCAGTACTGGGACAGTTGCAGCACTGGGACAGTTGCAGCACTGGGACAGTTGCAGCACCAGGACAGTTGCAGCACTAGGACAGTTGATGCGAATGTGGTTTAGGGAGATGGTTTAGTTAACCCTTAATAATGATGGTGAAGGAACAACTCGGGTGAAGGAGCAGCTGACTGTATATGACGACGTCAATATTGCCAACATGTTTACATGTTGCTCCAGTTGTTGTAAGTCCAGGAGGTTGCCACGGCCGGGAGTAACTATCCAAGTCTGTAACGCAAGGAACTATTTATTGCCAAATAGCACGGTCGGCCATGCCACGGTGTTCAGTATTTTGCTATATGGACTAATACCTTTAAAAGCCCTTCTCATCACCCTTTTCCCTTGTGGCGGAGGGCGGGGGCGTGCTGGAGGCGGCACTCTGGTGATTGTGGCGTGAGGCGCGGGCGTTAACCCAGACACAACAACACCCAGCTGATCACGTCTCCACGCCGCCCACAACCTCTGCCTTGAGCCTCGCCTCGTACTAAAAAATAATAGTGATTAGGAACAAAGTGAGTCGTTTGGTTTTATAATTACAAGAGGAAATGACAGTGATTTGGAGTGAAGAAACGAGATGGGGATTACATGATGGGACAGGAGATACCACCGATGGTGAGGGGGGGGGGCACGATGCGGCATCACGCCCACAGAGGGCACCACGGTACACGATGCGGCATCACGCCCACAGAGGGCACCACGGTACACGATGCGGCATCACGCCCACAGAGGGCACCACGGTACACGATGCGGCATCACGCCCACAGAGGGCACCACGGTACACGATGCGGCATCACGCCCACAGAGGGCACCACGGTACACGATGCGGCATCACGCCCACAGAGGGCACCACGGTACACGATGCGGCATCACGCCCACAGAGGGCACCACGGTACACGATGCGGCATCACGCCCACAGAGGGCACCATGGTACACGATGCGGCATCACGCCCACAGAGGGCACCACTGTACACGATGCAGCATCACGCCCACAGAGGGCACCACGGTACACGATGCAGCATCACGCCCACAGAGGGCACCACGGTACACGATGCAGCATCACGCCCACAGAGGGCACCACGGTACACGATGCAGCATCACGCCCACAGAGGGCACCACGGTACACGATGCAGCATCACGCCCACAGAGGGCACCACGGTACACGATGCGGCATCACGCCCACAGAGGGCACCACGGTACACGATGCAGCATCACGCCCACAGAGGGCACCACGGTACACGATGCAGCATCACGCCCACAGAGGGCACCACGAGCTGCTACTAACTTAACATTTTCTTTAGCTCTTGGAGTGGTGGGTAACTATAGTAATATTATTACTAATACACTCAATATAAACAAATTTCGCAGCTTGTGTTCACCACGTGAAATGGGTAAAGGCCAAATGAGAAACGTCCAATTTCTACGCTGTTCCTTCACATCAACCCACCAGATCTTCACACCAACCCACCAGACCTTCACACCAACCCACCAGACCTTCACACCAACCCACCAGACCTTCACACCAACCCACCAGACCTTCACACCAACCCACCAGACCTTCACATCAACCCACCAGACCTTCACACCAACCCACCAGATCTTCACACCAACCCACCAGACCTTCACACCAACCCACCAGACCTTCACACCAACCCACCAGACCTTCACATCAACCCACCAGACCTTCACACCAACCCACCAGATCTTCACATCAACCCACCAGACCTTCACACCAACCCACCAGACCTTCACACCAACCCACCAGACCTTCACACCAACCCACCAGACCTTCACATCAACCCACCAGACCTTCACACCAACCCACCAGACCTTCACATCAACCCACCAGACCTTCACACCAACCCACCAGATCTTCACATCAACCCACCAGACCTTCACACCAACCCACCAGACCTTCACACCAACCCACCAGACCTTCACACCAACCCACCAGATCTTCACATCAACCCACCAGACCTTCACACCAACCCACCAGACCTTCACACCAACCCACCAGACCTTCACACCAACCCACCAGACCTTCACACCAACCCACCAGATCTTCACATCAACCCACCAGACCTTCACACCAACCCACCAGACCTTCACACCAACCCACCAGACCTTCACACCAACCCACCAGACCTTCACATCAACCCACCAGACCTTCACACCAACCCACCAGACCTTCACATCAACCCACCAGACCTTCACACCAACCCACCAGATCTTCACATCAACCCACCAGACCTTCACACCAACCCACCAGACCTTCACACCAACCCACCAGACCTTCACACCAACCCACCAGATCTTCACATCAACCCACCAGACCTTCACACCAACCCACCAGACCTTCACACCAACCCACCAGACCTTCACACCAACCCACCAGACCTTCACACCAACCCACCAGATCTTCACATCAACCCACCAGACCTTCACACCAACCCACCAGACCTTCACACCAACCCACCAGACCTTCACACCAACCCACCAGATCTTCACATCAACCCACCAGACCTTCACACCAACCCACCAGACCTTCACACCAACCCACCAGATCTTCACATCAACCCACCAGACCTTCACACCAACCCACCAGACCTTCACACCAACCCACCAGACCTTCACACCAACCCACCAGACCTTCACATCAACCCACCAGACCTTCACACCAACCCACCAGACCTTCACACCAACCCACCAGACCTTCACACCAACCCACCAGATCTTCACATCAACCCACCAGACCTTCACACCAACCCACCAGACCTTCACACCAACCCACCAGACCTTCACACCAACCCACCAGATCTTCACATCAACCCACCAGACCTTCACACCAACCCACCAGATCTTCACATCAACCCACCAGACCTTCACACCAACCCACCAGACCTTCACACCAACCCACCAGACCTTCACACCAACCCACCAGACCTTCACACCAACCCACCAGACCTTCACACCAACCCACCAGACCTTCACACCAACCCACCAGACCTTCACACCAACCCACCAGACCTTCACACCAACCCACCAGATCTTCACATCAACCCACCAGACCTTCACACCAACCCACCAGACCTTCACACCAACCCACCAGACCTTCACACCAACCCACCAGACCTTCACACCAACCCACAAGATCTTCACATCAACCCACCAGACCTTCACACCAACCCACCAGACCTTCACACCAACCCACCAGACCTTCACACCAACCCACCAGATCTTCACATCAACCCACCAGACCTTCACACCAACCCGCCAGACCTTCACACCAACCCACCAGACCTTCACACCAACCCACCAGACCTTCACACCAACCCACCAGACCTTCACACCAACCCACCAGACCTTCACACCAACCCACCAGATCTTCACATCAACCCACCAGACCTTCACACCAACCCACCAGACCTTCACACCAACCCACCAGACCTTCACACCAACCCACCAGATCTTCACACCAACCCACCAGACCTTGAAAAAAACATGCTCAATCGTTTCCGTCCTCCTCGGTGGAGAGCGAAGGTAGTAGAGCACACTTGTGCTACGATAAATAAGGAAATCATAACACACCGCCAGGTCATGCCAAGTTTGTAAAGGTAACCCTAACCAGACACAGCAAGGACTTGCTTAACTGTCTCAGGTGAACAGCTTATCCTGTTTGAGAAGTAATTATCAAAAGAAGGCACCAAGCCAGGAAGGCTATGTAGCACCATCAAATGCGCTGAAATATGCATGACCGTAAGAGGAACAATGCAGTTTGGACAATAAGGAGCAGGGCGCTCCATTAAGTGTGCATGAGTTACGCGTATATGGCCAATACGCAACCTTGCCAGAGCCGTTTAAGGTGGTAGGACACCTTTAACGGCCATGGGGACACACGACTCTTAAGAGTACGCAGTTTGTTACCAGTAATAGAAGACCAACAACCCTGCCAACGGGTAAGGATGGAGGAATGAATAACTGTGTAAAAGTCGGAATAAGGAATACCTTTATGGGAGATGGGACAAGTGCGGATACCCTCCTGAGCGACCCCGTCCGCACGCTCATTTAAGGACACCAATATGGCTGGGAACCAGCAAAACTCAACTGTCTTAAATTTACTGGACATAAGAAACAGCCAATGTTGAATCTCAACTACCACCAGATGGACTGGATTAAAGGACTCCAGAGCCATGAGGGCACTACGAGAGTCAATTACAACAACAAAGGAGGATTGACAGCGAGAAAGCAGGAGACGAAGATCATAGAGAATAGCATAAAGTTCTGCCGTGAAGATGCTAGTCTCCTGAGGCAGGCGACACATAAGTGTGGTCAGGAAAAAAACAGAGAAGCCTACACTTCCTGTAGATTTAGACCCATCGGTGAAGACGAAAATGGAGCGGGAGTGTGAAGAAAAGTGCTCAAGGAAAAGGCGTTTCAGAACAGTAGGAGTAAAAGCTTTAGGGACGTGGGTCAGGGTTTTACAAAATTTAGAAAGGGGGGGGACCCTCCACGGGGGCAAGGACGGAACAACACGTGTGGGGGAATTGACTTGTGAAATTTATATTTATTTAATTTATATTGATTTATATAGTAATTTATATTTTATGTTAATTTATATTTTCGATGGCAAACTGTTTGTTTGAAATGGAATGTATTTCTTAAAAGACACAAATAACTGTCCTTACACATTCTGGGGGGTTTATGGTTTATTTATGTAGTCTATCAATCAACTTATTGATTGGTAGACATTCCCTACAATATTACTTGGTGTTAAACTATAACTATACTGTATTAGTTGATACTGGAGAAGCCTTATCTGATAAGAAGGCTTGAGCATTAATGGTGTAAGTGGGTAGCCAGCCAGTAACGTGGTCTCCCCTGAGTGGTTCCACGTTAATGACTTCACTTCTCAATTTACCTACCAACGAGACTGCACAGTAATATTTGCTGCAAATAAATAATTTTGTTAACTGGTATATTATAATATTCTAAAATAAGGGGATGAGAATATTGTTCACTTTGGTGTTTTGTTTATATACGGCATAACCATAGCAGTAAATTACACAATAAAATTAGAGCTCTACAAATCATTTAGTATACTGTATGGATATAATGCCTTTCCTGGACACGACGGTGTCGATATGTGCTGTCTAACTCTTCTACAATATCTTGTATGGTACAAATAATCAAGATGGCAGCACGACAAGTTTGAACTGTCAGGGTTAAAATGGCTACTGACTGAGGCCTCCCTTTCACTGTCCACATCTCTTGTTCTCCACATGCTTCAAGAAGTGGTTAGAAGACCCTCATTTACTTTACTTTGGTACTGATAATTAAGTTGATTGAAGGGAAATGATTTTATGATGTTTACAGTCCCGAGACCAAGGTATTAAGAATAATTCCCAACAGAATTAGCTGGTGAAATTAATAGCGACGTAGCAATGATATCCCCCGTTTTCTATGAGTGAATTTGTTAGTACAATGCAGCAGCAATTATTTGCTAATTGTATTAAATGTTAGTAAATGGGGGTTGGGTTTTCCGACAAGAGAAATATTGGTGACACTAACCGAAAGAGACTTTTGGAGGCGAGACAGCCGGACAGAAAGAGGGAAGTGGTGAAGGGGAACAGGGACCACAGGAGGGGGGTAAAAGTCAAAGAATAACACAGGTGAGAGTGGGGGTGGTGTAAGGACCGCGCAAGGTAGCGAAGAAAGTAGCGATCACGGCAGTCCTGGAGAGACAGGACACCGGTTTCAACATACAGGCTGAGGGTAGGAATCGAACGAAAGACTGAGGCGTAACCCAGTATGGTGCAGAGCATCAAGACGGTGAAGAGTAGAAGGAGAAGCAGACCAGTAAGCAGGGCAACCATAGTGCAATTTAGACAGTACGAGAGAGGAATGCAAAGCGAGGAACATTCGCTTATCAGCTCCTCAAGAGGTATGGGATAAGACCCTAAGTAGGTTAAGGGCCTTAGTGCATTCAACACGGAGGTAAGAGATATGGGGGCGACCAAGACAACGAGTGTCAAAGATTAACCCCTAAAGCCTAGCGGAATCTTTGTACACAAGGGGATGACCAAAACGACAAAGAGGGACGAAGAACGACCTGCTTCCGTGTAAAAGTCATGGCACAAGTCTTGGTTGCACAGAACTTGAAGTCATATGATTGGTGGCCCAGGACGACACGGCATCAATCGCAAGTTGAAGCCGTCGTTGAAGGAAAGGAGAGTCATCACCCCGACAGCAAAGGGTAAGATCATCGACATAGAGTGCTGAGAAGATGCCAGAGGTAAGGGAGGAAAGAAGACTATTGAGCGCAACAAGGAAAAGAGTAGTACTTAGAACACTACCTTGGGGTACACCTTTGTATTGCCAAAAAGAGGCAGAGAGAGCAGTACCAAGCCTCACTCTAAAGGAACAACTTGAGAAGAAACCCTATAGGAAGAGAGGGATATTACCACGAAGGCCAAAAGAACGGAATTGAGACGGAATGTGGTATCTCCAGGTGGTGTATGCCTTTTCTAGGTCAAAAAGGACAGCGACAATGGAGGTCTTCGCAGAAAAAACAGTACAAATATAGACCTTCAAGTTCATCAAGTCATCAGTGTTGTGGCACTTGTCAAAGCCAAATTGAGAAGGGGAGAGGTGGTGATAGTGTTCCAGGAACCACATCAGATGGACATTGACCATACACTCAATGAGTTTGCAAACACAACTCGTGAGGGCAATGGGGCTAAAGTCTTTATGGGATGTCCCTAGAGACCCTGGTTTCTGAATAGGAAGAACCACTGCCTGGAGCCAGTCCTCAAGGGCTGACGACGACTCCCAGATACAGTTATAGAGATTTAGTAAATACTGAGATGCCCATGAAGGGAGATGGTGAAGCATCTCATAATGTCATCCGAGCCCACTGACGTAGAATCACAGAGGGTCAGGGCGGACTGAGTTCGGAGAGAGAGAATGGACCGTTATAGGGAAGCTGGAGATGAGTGCGAAAGTCTAGGGGAGAGGATTTAAGAACGGGCTTACGATTCAGGAGAGACAGAGGAATATGAGAACTGGAGCTAACGTCGAAAAGTGGGAACATAGTTCGTTCGCGACTCCCACCGGATCCGCCACAATATTACCATGGAGGTGAAGGCGAGACATCTGGAACAAACTTACCCGCCATCTTGCGGATTTTCTTCCTGATCCAGGGCAAAGGAGACGTATCGGACGTAATTGTGGAGACATAAGATTTCCAACTCTCATATTTAGCTGAACAGATGGCCACCGCACTCGCCTTCCGAAATAAAATAAAAGAAGCGGCCACCTGCCAGCATTGGTGTTTCTTCTAGGTTGCAACGCTTACGGTGGACAGCTCGAACACAGTCTGCATTCCACCAGGGAATGCACTTCCACGTGCCTTGGGAGGTAGAGCGAAGAACTGAGTGGACAGTTAAGGGCCCCAGCAAAAGCTGGGGAGGGGGGAGAGAAAGGAATATTCACGAAAGTGACAAGGACGAGCAAAGAGCATCGGCTCCTAGAGACAAACACAAAGTGGTGAAAACTGTTATCGGAAGTTTGAATAAAATCCACGAATATTCTATTGAAGAATAGACATTGTCAAAAGGAGAGAGAACAGCAACAGAGAACAATGAAGAAACAAAGGCCAAGAAAAACACAACATACTAAAGAAGATCAGGACCAGGATCAGTAAAATCAAGGTTAGGGGGCATGGGCAAATTGAGCAAGGACGGTGGAGTAAAAGCGGGAGAACGGACCAGAAGCGGGCGGAGCCAGGCTTACGTTTCTGATTTAGAGAGACAGGTGTGCCAGCAGCAATGTTCTGGGCAACAGCCTCCATAGTCTCAACAGAAGAATGGGAGCAATCAACATGAAGATTGCTGGGAGGATGATGGACAACAGCCTGGACAGACAGGCGGCGTGGAGGGCCAAGAGACAAGGGGAGGTTTGGGAAGAAAGATCGGGAGGAGACGGGAAAGAAGAAACAAGAGACACGGCAGACTGAGAAGGCAGGAAGGAAACACCAGACAGAGAACCAGGAAGAGGACCTCTTGTTTCAGAACGTAAAGGAGCAGGGGAGGAGTCGGTAGGCGTGTCTGGGTCCAAGGCCTGGAAACGGTTGTGAGACTGAGAAAGGAGGGAAGAGCGAGGAGAGGTAGAAGCAAACACACGAGAATAAGATATGTTAGCAAAAGGGGAGAGACAGCAGACTTGGCGTCTCGCCTCAGGAAAAGACAAACAATTGTGGTGCTTCAAATTAAGGATGGCTTCCTCAAATTTGTAGTGTATACAAGCACGGGAGAAGGTAGGGTGGGCGTCACCGCAATTGAGGCAGTGGGTCTGGGGAAAAGAGCACTCCGTCTTAGAGTCACCCGAGTTCGCACACTGAGGGCATAGAGACTTTCCACTTGTGCATTTGAGGGCACCATGCCCAAATTTCCAGCACTTATTGCAAAATCTTGGAGAGGGAATGTACTCCTGAATGGAGCATTGGGCATCAGCAAGAATTATAGAAGGCGGAAGGGTCCTACTATCAAAAATGATCTTCACAACGTGGAGAGGCTGATGGCGAAGACCACGAGGGGGTCAAGTGAACGTATCAACCTGGAGGACAGAATGGCCTTGGGCTTCAAGGACATGTTTAATATCCTCATGACAGTCTTTCAGGTCCCTAACACCAGTCCTTACATGGTGCGGGAGGACAACAGTGCCAATACTGGCCTTTAACCAGGCATTTATGGAGACCCTAACAGAGAGGTGGGGGGTCTTCCCAATGCTGGACAATGCGGCTAAGCGGGCAGCTGCATCCTGAGAAAGGAGCAGCAACAATATGTGTACCAAAATGGGTGGGGTTAAAAGTAACAGAGGCATCCACTGAATCAACGAGGTGTTTATGGAGGAAGAAATCGTCAGGACGTGTAGAGTCCAGATGGTTGAGATCAAAGTATTGACTCCATGTAGCAGGACCAAACAATTACCGTATTCGCACTGGAAGGGATCGTGCAATGGTGTTGGTTGTGCAATCGGCGTCGAGCACCCGCAGTGAAAGGGGGCGGGGTAAATCGTGCAGTTGTCACAGTGAGAGAAGTAGCCGCTCCAGGTGATGAGGTGGTCACTTGTAGGGGGCTTGGGGCTCGACCCTACCAGAGAGGAGGGAGGGGAGTGGAGGGGGCAGTTGGGAGAGGTCAAAGGAGTAGCTTGGGTTGGGCCCAATGTAGTGGGGGCTACAGACCCCGGTCTTCCAACACTGTCCAACACGGGGCCTTGGTCGCCTACCCCACAAGCCTGGGAAGTTATAAGAGGATCATTCAGCTGCATAGAAACTAGATAATAATTTCATTCAAGAATGAGCCGCAGTTTCATTCACGAATGGCGGTACGTTCACTCACAGGATGAGTGACGCTGCCCAATACTGTCACTATGGCGGTGTGTCCACTCACAGGATGAGTGACGCTGCCCAATACTGTCACTATGGCGGTGTGTCCACTCACAGGATGAGTGACGCTGCCCAATACTGTCACTATGGCGGTGTGTCCACTCACAGGATGAGTGACGCTGCCCAATACAGTCACTATGGCGGTGTGTCCACTCACAGGATGAATGACGCTGCCCAATACTGTCACTATGGCGGTGTGTCCACTCACAGGATGAGTGGCGCTGCCCAGTACTGTCACTATGGCGGTGTGTTCACTCACAGGATGAGTGACGCTGCCCAATACTGTCACTATGGCGGTGTGTCCACTCACAGGATGAGTGGCGCTGCCCAGTACTGTCACTATGGCAGTGCGTTCACTCACAGGATGAGTGACGCTGCCCAATACTGTCACTATGGCGGTGTGTTCACTCACAGGATGAGTGACGCTGCCCAATACTGTCACTATGGCGGTGTGTCCACTCACAGGATGAGTGGCGCTGCCCAGTACTGTCACTATGGCAGTGCGTTCACTCACAGGATGAGTGACGCTGCCCAATACTGTCACTATGGCGGTGTGTTCACTCACAGGATGAGTGACGCTGCCCAATACTGTCACTATGGCGGTGTGTCCACTCACAGGATGAGTGGCGCTGCCCAGTACTGTCACTATGGCAGTGCGTTCACTCACAGGATGAGTGGCGCTGCCTAATACTGTCACTATGGCGGTGCGTTCACTCACAGGATGAGTGACGCTGCCCAGTACTGTCACTATGGCAGTGCGTTCACTCACAGGATGAGTGGTGCTGCCCAATACTGTCACCATGGCGGTGTGTCCACTCAACTCACAGGATGAGTGACGCTGCCCAATACTGTCACTATGGTGGTGTGTCCACTCACAAGATGAGTGACGCTGCCCAATACTGTCACTATGGTGGTGTTTCCACTCACAGGTTGAGTGACGCTGCCCAATACTGTCACTATGGTGGTGTGTCCACTCACAGGATGAGTGGCGCTGCCCAATACTGTCACCATGGCGGTGTGTCCACTCAACTCACAGGATGAGTGGCGCTGCTAAATACTGTCACTATGGCGGTGTGTCCACTCACAGGATGAATGACGCTGCCCAATACTGTCACTATGGCAGTGCGTTCACTCACAGGATGAGTGGTGCTGCCCAATACTGTCACCATGGCGGTGTGTCCACTCAACTCACAGGATGAGTGGCGCTGCCCAATACTGTCACTATGGTGGTGTGTCCACTCACAGGATGAGTGACGCTGCTAAATACTGTCACTATAGCGGTATGTCCACTCACAGAATGAGTGACGCTGCCCAATACTGTCACTATAGCGGTGTGTCCACTCACAGGATGAGTGACGCTGCCCAATAAACTCGCCCCTCGGGGCAAAATTATATTTAAGTTATATACCGACCAGCGTCGTCACGGAAAAGTACTCCTCGAGCCTAGAACTGCTGCCAGTTGCTGACACGGAGGTGACACGGAGAGAAGATACAACGCATACATTCAACACGGTCCCCATCCATGTCAACAGTAGCGTGATCTAGTGGATGGTTGTTGAACTAGATGCCACCTCAGAAGGGGTTGTGACATCACGGTAAGAACAACACAACCTGAGAATTTGAGATAGTTCTCAAGAATTACCTTCCATCCACCAGAATACCATGGTACTACCAGTTACCAATACCATGGTACTACCAGTTACCACTACCATGGAACTACCAGTTACCAATACCATGGTACTACCAGTTACCACGACCATGGAACTACCAGTTACCAATACCATGGTACTACCAGTTACCAATACCATGGTACTACCAGCTACCACTACCATGGAACTACCAGTTACCACTACCATGGAACTACCAGTTACCACGACCAAGGAACTACCAGTTACCACTACCATGGAACTACCAGTTACCACTACCATGGTACTACCAGTTACCACGACCAAGGAACTACCAGTTACCACTACCATGGAACTACCAGTTACCACTACCATGGTACTACCAGTTACCACTACCATGGTACTACCAGTTACCACTACCATGGTACTACCAGTTACCAATACCATGGAACTTACTAGTTACAATACCATGGAACTATCAGTTACCAATACCATGGTACTACCAGTTACCAATACCATGGAACTACCAGTTACCAATACCATGGAACTACCAGTTACCAATACCATGGAACTACCAGTTACCAATACCATGGAACTACCAGTTACCAATACCATGGAACTATCAGTTACCAATACCATGGAACTACCAGTTACCACTACCATGGAACTACCAGTTACCACTACCATGGAACTACCAGTTACCACTACCATGGTACTACCAGTTACCACTACCATGGTACTACCAGTTACCACTACCATGGAACTACCAGTTACCACTACCATGGAACTACCAGTTACCACTACCATGGAACTACCAGTTACCACTACCATGGTACTACCAGTTACC